CAGAGATAATTTTGCTACCTTTTGTTCCATCCCCACTCATGGGAAGAGCAGTGGGGTAAAATTAGCCTTGACAGAGAAAGGCTCTTAAGGAATTTGGATAGGTCAGCAGAAGTAGAAAGCCAGAATGCATACAGTAGCAGGACATGAATTCTGCAAAGATAATCTGAGATTTGCAGCATAACCCTACCCTCTGCTTTTGCTAATACCTGGTCTCCATATTTTTTTCAGCAACAACATTCTGCCTTGAAGTAAATTGCATTTTTTAACATATTTACAGGGTAAAAGCAAAAAGAAAGTTTTTTTTTTTCAATGGGATTTTCTCTAAGGCTGGTATATATGCTTCTACTTCTGCAAAATCTGAACTGGAAGAAGTAAAGAAAATGCAGAGTTTTAAGACTAAAGCTTGTTCTGATGAACAATGAATTTGTACTACTTGCCATTTTACCAGAAAATTTTCTTTTGGGCAAAAAATGTTGTAACATCTTCTCAATCAATACGTTGCATAAAGTAGAAAATCTCACATTCTGGAACTTGGGACACCAAACTTCTACTGTTAGGCTCACAGGCTCATAGGCTTAAAGGATGTTTGTGGTTGGAAGAGATCTCTGAAAATGACCTGGGGCACCCCTCCCTGCTCAAGCAGGACCACCAGGGAATGGTTGCGTGGCACTGTGTCCAGATGGCTTTTGAGTGTCTCCAAGGATGGAGACTCCAAGATACCCAGGTTCACTGGACATACCAAACGACTTCTCTTCTAAAGGCCTTGAACCTATTTTGCATGCTTGCAGATGAAGCCATTACTGATACTGATCACAGAAATCTTGTCCTTGGAATACTCTGATATCCTTTTTGGATCTCTCAGAAAAAAATCAAAGAAGTGGGAATTGGGAAAGAAAAAGGAGTCCTTTGTAATGAGGAAACAAGCATATTCTTCTGGTAGAAATTAATAGAATTGAAGGATTTCTAAAGGCACAGCAGGACCACAGAGAAAACAGCTACATATATAAACATTTCATTTTGGATACTAATATGCTTTCGCTTCCATGAAAATTGCTCAGTACTTTTCTCACTTTAAATAAAATTCCTATTGCTAATATGTGAAATCTCTGTGGAGTCATCCTTGCTTACACAGTTTTAGAGTGACTAGAGATATACAAAGATGATTTCCCAAATAGTTTGAAAAATCACTACTTAAATTTAGGGCTCAGTTCAGTAAGGAATTATGCTGTGTAGGGTTGCTATGGAATTTAGTCAAAAAAAGTTCAGACTGTACTAAAAATGAATTAATTCCATGGTTTTGCTATTCAATGAAGCCTCCTTCCCTCGTGCACAAATAGCTAACACTATGCCCTGAAAGGCAGGCATGTCAAAGAGGTGGAAAAGGATATTCTGGGCTCCAAAAAATATAGCACAGTAGATGTATTAAAAAAGGGAAATTTCTCAGAGTTTGTAAGATAATAGAGCTGTCTGCAGGCAGCTTTAACTTGTATTCTGGTCAATTATAGGGATTTATGCAGCTATGTATTACACATGCTAAAATAAATACTTATAATATTCATCTGGGCTCCATATGGTACCCATGTACTACCCAGAGACAAAACACGCTCAAGGAAAAATCAGCAAGTTTCGCAATACATATTTTGATCTTTTATAATGCCTTGCCATGCAAATATTTGAGGTGCAAATAATAAGTTACAATTTTTTTTTTCTGAGGCTTCTTAATATTAACACAAACCACCTTAGTCTTTTGAAAGAGCTTATAAAAACTAGAAAAAAGCTGACCTTCACTTAATAAAATACTGAAGCTGAACACAGTGAAGGCACGAAGACATAAGGGATTTTTCTAATGCATTGGTTTAATTTCTGTCACCAAATCCAAAGTTCTCCACTTACTGCAGCTCTTAGCAGGAATCATTTCTAACCTACACCTGGAGGTAACTCGTCTTCCTCTGAACTGATACTGACCCATACATTTTCTATGTGCTGCCCACATTCTGCTGCTTGGGTGTGGACCACAAATACATATATTTGCTTGAATTGCAGCCCTTAGCCATGAGAAAAACCTTTGAATGACAAGTAGTCTTGTCTATTGAATTGGACCTTCGTCTTCACAGAAATAGGAATGCCAAAAAAATAAAAAAGAAAAAAGGAAAAAGGCACCACTGATTCTTTAATTTTAAAAATGTTATCTCTTTTAAACAGGCACATCAGACTGACAATGGCAAGTATCCAATACTAATGCAAGCAACCGTTCTTGTAAAATATATTTAAAAGGCAACTTCTGAAAAGGCTGCAGCTTTAAATGACAGGTGAGACTTTTATTTTTGGGGCTATTTTAAAACACAATTTCTCTTTTAAAGATATTTGTTGGGAGCAAAATAAAACTGATTTATACACATCTTTTTTCTTTCCCCTTATGGCTGTATGTTTTCTTTGTTACATAACTAAAGACTGTTAGTACTAATAAAGGAGCTGAATGCCCCTTCTTAAATATTCATGTGACAAATTGCACAATTAAATCAGATTTAGCTCCTTGAGATGTAGTTTGTTTGGGGATTTTTCATAATATATGACTTAATGACCTTTATTAGCCAGTTTCTTATATATTTATTTGTCTTCTATATTTATTTCTTTTTAATTGTAGGATAAAACATTAAAAAATTGAAATACTTGACAAAATACCCAAATCATAAAGCCTGTCACAGGCTGTTAAAACACCTTACATACTTGCAAAATGTAAGTATGTGATCTAAGCGATAGACAGATGCCTTGCAAAACATGTCTATCACTTTTGACAAGAAACTCATTTTTATTTTCAGAAGGCTCACCAGATAGTTATTAAAAAAAAAAGAGGCAAAATAAGTCACTTCAATGAATCAAGCCCTTATTTTCTTATCTATGATAAGAAAATTATTATATACCCAAATATTGGTGTATATACAACTTTCTTCTCTCTATGAAATTATTTGATAAGAACTGGTTTACAACTCTGAAAAAAAAAAAAGCCCAGCATTTATTATTTTGCCTTAATTGTAAATCTTTGCAGGCATTAGATGTGCTTTAGTAATAAAAATACTGCAATAAATTTTCACCTCACAAAGCTTTCTGTAACTTTGTGTCAGGAAACCTGTATTAGCCTGGAGTAAGCATCACTTCACATACAATTTCTTTCTTACCATGAGATTATAAAATTTCAGCTTTAATGATCATATGAACTAATTTCATCAGACAGAAATTGGAAAGATGTGGAGAACACTCACAGTGCTGTTCAGCTAATACATTTCAGGGTAAGACTTTAGACATCTGAGTTATAGTGATGGGGTGCAATCCTGGCAAACTGCATGTCCAAATCCTTCCATGTCAGAGTTGCTAGACATTTGCCTTTGTTGGCAAGGAACATGCATGGCTGTACTTCAGGCAGCGGGAGAGGAATGGGCTCCTCAGCACCACAGCCTCTCCTCCATCCACACAACGCCTAGCCCCAGCAGGTGAAAACCCAATGTCCATAGTCTTCATGGAGTTCCCAACCCAACAAGGAATTACAGCGTTGATGGCTTCTTTTTTCTACAGTGACATTAAACATTTATAGTGAGACATATAAGAATATATATTTATATAAATATATAAAATATTTATATAAAATATATAAATAAATACATATACAAAATATGGCATTATTTTCCAGAGAGATTATACATTTCACAGGCCACCTTTCCTTCTCCAGATTTCATGGTCATACAGAATTTTTCACAAAGTACATAAAACAATCAGCCTCAACAAAAAAAAAAAGTTGCCAAAGCCTTCCTTATGTGAAAGCATCACATACCACAACAAAACCAAATCACTTCTCTTCCAATTAAAAAGACATATAACACCATGACAGACAGTGAATTTAACTATTTAAACCCAATGGTTCTTTTTCTATGCTTAGATGCAGGCAAATGATTTCTACCATAGTCAAAGCAAATGCGTGGCGCATAAATGAAATGCGTGGGTCTCAACACCCAGGGTCCACAATCCCCCCATCTTGTTGACATTGTTTTCAACAGGAGTTCCTCATACAGAGCAAGTGCTTTGGTAGAATGTACCAAGACAACAAAGAATAGATACACCTTTTCAAAATAAATAAACAAATACAAAGAGTAGTACTCTAATGGCAATTTTTTGTCCATGAATATTCTGTGAGCAGTAAATGAAGGAAATGTAAGCCCTGTTGCACAAACTGAAGCAATGCACAGACAAAAGAAAGCTTTACCAAGAGCTTCAGTGCGACTGTTATCCTTTCCAGTGGCATAAGTCAGTGATGGGTACATTAGAATTATCAATAAAATAATTTTAAAAAAATATTATCTTGGCATTTGTAGTTATAGCAAATAATAAAACTCAATCCCTTCTGGAAACACTTCCTTTGCTCCAAAAATTCATTTCTCTTACCTAGAACAGATCAGTGTGTATGCATAGAGACTTAAATGTATTTATAAATCATTCCATAACCTTACTCTCTCTGTGCATACAGATGTATACACTAGAATTACTGTGTAATATTTGGTATTCACATGTTACATTTAAATAAAGTTTATTAAAAAACAATTATATTAATACAGACTAACAGAATATTCATAATATATTTTACAGAAAAAATAGCCATGTCTTTATCTTAGAAATACATTTCTTTAAAAAGTTCTTTGAGATTTTTATAAAACTTTTTACCCGTGAAGACAAGTTTCCCATCAGACCTGTAAAGAAAGCTTTACCTTTAAATCCTTGTGGGTTTTTTGGTTTAGTTTTTCTTTTTAATACTTTTACAAGCTTAACATCTATAAATTCTTTAAAATAAAAAAAACCAGTATCTTTTGAGATCAAATTGGTCACAGGCCATTCTTTAAAAAGTCAGTGGAGACTCCCTGATTCCATTCTGAAGTGCCTTTTTTTTCTCTCTCTCTGGGTATCAATAGTGCAGGTTTACATGGGAATTCTGAGCTCCCTATACATCCCATAGGAAGCTCGATGTGTGTTGGTGACAGGGTGCAGCTGCAGCAGCATCCACAGGGGCTGCAACTCCCCATCTGCTGCAGGAAGCAGAGCTTGTTACTCCACAGACAGTGCAGTCCCACAGTGTTTGCCCAGCCCCTCCAAGGTCTCTGTGAGGTCCAGTGGCCATGCACAGATGCTAGAAGAGCTGGCACCCAGTCCTCATTTGCTTTCCAAGTTATAGCAATGGACATCTCCTTTTCCCTTCCCATCATACCCAGGAAGTGGCTGTCCATATTTATCCACACACCAGCAATAACCTCTTTTTCGGCCTTTGGATGGGCGACACTGAAACATAATAAAAGACCCAGTTAGCATGAATTTTGTTTTCACCACTTGTTGTATTAGACAGCAGGGATTCCTGCTCTTTTGATACCCGCACTTCAATATCCTGACCATATCTGACAGAATCAAACAGAGTATTTTGTTACCACTACGAAGCATTTCAATAAAAACTTGCCTTCTCACTCCATCAATCCCTCTGGATCTAACATAATAGAACTGAGAACACTGAAAACTACTAGAAAATAGACTTATGAATTGCTCCCTATCATATTTGGCAGCAGAGCTGGCCCCTTTGAATACAATACAATAGTATGGGCTAGTGACTGGGACCCATCTTTAGAAAAAAAAAATTAGCAGGTATGTTCTACACTAAAGCACAGGTCTGTCAAAGACAACCATTGCAGCAAGAAACACACTTGGTATGCACTTGTTTACTGAAAGAAATTTAAAAGTGTAGCTGACATTTATTAACAGATACATAATCCTTCTACAGTGTAGTTATTGCAAAACCTGCTAGGTGGACTAGAACTTTACATGTGTATTTTCCTATTAAAAAAATTGTGTATCTAGTAGTCTATAGCATGTTACCTTTAAGTTAACTGCTAGAATTCACCAGCAATGCTGACCAACCTGAAACTACCACAGGAAATAACACTGAACCTCTTTAGAAGCAGTAATGCAGTAAATATGCATTATAAAGTCTACCACATAGCAAGTAATGCTCCTCCCAAGGAACCAAGAATGGCAAAAAGTAGACTAAAGGAGATAACATGCTGCAGGCTGCATTCAGTATGCAACCCTGGACACTGTTACATTACCATGAACCACTAAGACCTTGCAAGGGTTTTACCCATTCATAAGATACATCGAGAATCTCACTAGGTCTGCAATGGTCAGCCTCACTGTTAAGACATAGCCTTCCTGTTAGCTCGTGTTTTGAGATCTGGTGATTCAGAATTTGCTTCAAATGCAAATAAAGGTGGCTGTTTACTCAGGACATACTCACAAAAGTGGCAGTGACACAAGCACATCCAATTTCCTGTGTTTTTGTCTGTTGTCACTATGAAGGAAGATTGGCTGGACTGGTGCTACTTATGTTCCTCAACACTGTCAAGTCTATTATTCAGGCAGAGCAATTTTTGCCTCTGAGATCACATTCAGAGTAACTGAAGTTTTCAGAAGATCAGGTTGGTACAATCTGGTAAACATCACCATTATCCCTGTACTTCTTGTTCTCCAGAGGCTCATAGGCATGGCCCAATATCTCAGGAGGCTATGGCAGTGGCTCACATAAGTGCCTTTTCTATGTGCAGGTACAGAAGAAAACATGAAGCAAGTGTTGGGCTTCACATGCTGCTTGTAGTGACTGATCCTTTCCATGTCTAGTTTAGTATCTCAGGTGACAGTGCTATCTTGGACAGAACTGGAGAGTTCTGGAATACAGAACACTCTGGAACAGCCTGCACCAGCACACTGGCCTATGAGACAATTAATTTGTGGCAGCATGGAATAGGGTAGACAGCGTTCACTAAGACCTTGCAAAAGAGATGGAAGCAGGTCACACATTAGGTATAAATTTTTTCAGACAAGTCACTATCTTGTTTATTTTATTTTACTGTAAATTAAGTAATGTTATTCAGCATAACTGCAAATTAAACCACCCTTCTGATATATTATTGAGTAAGAAGCCCAATGCAGAAATAATGCAATGTCTTCTTTTCTACAAATCCGCAGTCCTTCTGCATTAGCCCTATGAAAATGGACAGCAGCAGGATGACAAGGTCCAGCATAACATACATATCAGCTTAGTTTTAGAAGAGGGTAAAGAAGTTCAAACCTACTGAGAGAATAGCTACATTAATAATTCACTGAACTAAATGGTTACCTGCAGTTCAGTTTTTATCTGTTACTAAATCTTTAAACATAAGTCCTAAAACTTGTATTTGTTGTCTCAAAAACCTGACTAGAATTTACATGTATTCTCCAGGATTTCCATGGATGACTGTTCAACATCCACTGATGTCAAGGGAAATTTTTCTTCAATTTTGGTGTGACTGGACTCCAGCTTAAGTATTATTAACGTTTAATGACTTAAATTCTTCATGCTTAACACAGAGAAATTAATAACATCATTTGCACAATTTAATTTGCACAAAAAGGAAACTGAGCCAGCACTTCTAGAGTTGTTTTCCCAACAAAGTAGGCACAGATGAAGCCCAAAGAGCATAGGGCTTCTGGCTGCCAGGCTCGTGCTCTGGCAATGAAACTACATTTCTGCTAATAATAGTAACATAGCCTCCCCTTTTAGAAGTATATGAAGCATATTACACAACTCTCACCGATTCCTAGGCTTGCATCACTCTCAAAACAAATGATCGATTAAAGGTCTCATGTTGTTGCTGGAGGCTTTGATTGCTTTTAACAGTTGCACAATCAATTTTCAGAAGTAATTACTACATTAAGTTAATTTGCAGAAACACCTTCCCAGCTACTGTTTTTTTTACTTCCTCTAGATAATCCATTTGAAAAGCAAAACCCCTAGATCATTCTACAGCTGAAACAACACTCTATGAGAAAACAACTTACCTTTTGCAGGTGTTTTTTCCTACCTACTCAGCCATGCTGTCAATAGTAAAGCACTTGTGATTAAAAAGTGATGCTTTTATCCGGAAACAGCCAATACTCTCTACAGAAGTGGTAAACAGGTCATATGGAGAAATATATATGTAAATATTTTCTCTTACGAATTTTGTATTCCACATACATTTCTAGGCTCTGCCCAGCTATTCTGTATGACTTTATACATGTAAAAAGTTGGAAAACTGCCCAAGCAGTGGAGACTAATTACTTCTGATAGAAACAGCAGCTGCCAATTCCATGCCACCTGCTCCTCTCCCTTCCACAAAGAAATACTGCAGATGCATTTATGGGGCACAGCAAAGCATATGGTATCCCACTGAATTCCTGGTCAGTCCAGAGGGCTCCATGGAGCTACAACCATGGTCTTCAGGAACAGACTGCAGACAACATTGACGTGTACCTCAGGCCATTTTAGCTCCTGGCAAGTCCAGCTCTGTTTTCAGTGGAACGATGCCAGCTCACATTTAGGTGAGTATCTGGCTCCAGTATACAAACATGGGGCAATTCTAGTAATTGCCCCATATAATAATTCTAATTTCATCAAAACCTTTTTCCCATGCTTGGGGTAGGAATGTGCCTGTATCAACTAATTATGCATAAATATACCTATGCCGCACAATTGAATAGTACAATCTTACATGTGTGATTAAGACAAAGAATTATAAACTTTAAACAGGTCTGATTTTAAAATTTATATATAAACAAAAGGTATGAAATATTTTTCATATTATACCCTGACACATAAATTTATGTTCTTAGAAGTGTTTCACAGATGCAATTTATTCTTCATGGTTGTTCTTGAAAAGTAAATTTCTAGATATCTACAAATGTCATGAAAAATAAGTGCTTTCAACTTGGCTGGAAGACCAGATGACCAGGAAGGTAGAATATGAGAGTGCCTCCTGAATGAGTTTTAATGGTACCAGCATGATCATTATGTACCAGGTTCCTACAATCCCAAATCTACTACATTCTCATCCTAGACAGTGGTTTTGGCAACTGTTTCTAGAATTCAAAACGCCTAGCTTGCAGTCATTTTTAATGGATTTACTGTCTACTTTCTAACCTACTATTCTGAATTTTGTGACAATAGAATATAATTCAATTACAGATTGAACATGGCTAATAATGGCATGAAGGGAATTACTAAAACAGCGTAGAATTCTGTTAATGAGATTAGACATCTGCTCACAGTATCTAAAATATCAGACTTAGATTTTGATGCTTCAAGAAAAACCCCAAACACAACTGTCAAAATTCCTTGCAGATCAGTTAATTTGATCTGGACAGGACTAACACACTTCTCAAACTCATGTTTTTTTCCCTAGGAGTTAATTCTATGAGGGCAACTAATATTTTTGGTTTGTATTCTGTTGGTGAGAGAAGCAGGCTGCCTCTGTAAGTCCCATCTCTGAGGGCTTGTTCCCAGGATTGATCAAGGTTCTTTTACAGACTCAGTAACCCACGTGAATATCATGTAGAACGTTTACTCATGTGAGCTCCCTTTGTGAGCATCTCCTGCAAGACCCTGAGTGATCTCAAACTACCATTGAAACTACTGGACCTATGTAAATTGGCACAGTGCTTGACAAGGCTGGCTAGGCAGGAAAGTGTCCCTTCATTCTCTATGTATGCTGACCAGTTGGGATACTGCACATAATGCAGGAACCTTTCCTAAAGAAATTTTACCAGGCAGCACAGACAATACACAGAGGACAAAAGTGTATATTTGCTTTGTACCAACAGATTATTCTCATAAATCAACTTCTAGAAACTGATACTAGGTAAGACTTTTATCTGTCTATCCTTTTTTTTCTCTTTCTATTTCCTTCTTTTTGCCTTGGTGATAGAACTATGACTGTACTTTAAAGGACAGTCCTCCTTTCAAGTAAGCTACTTTAATACATGCTCATTGCGGATCCAATTTACTACACCCAATGCCAGAGATTACTTGCAAACCACCACATTTTTGCACACAAAGCAAAAATCTTAGAGTCTGAAGAAAGATGAAAGGAAGATCTACTGAACAAAGTAAATACCAGTCTTCAGTCTTCTATAATACATAGAGAAGGAAAAGGGCTATGGCACACTTGAGTGCCTTGAACACAGCCAAATTATTTGCTGTTCTAAAGCAGCTAAGAAAATACTTTTATGACACAAGCACAAAGCACAGTCCTTGTCTCACTCTGCATAGAAGTCCAATGCATTTTCTGAAAACAAGCAGCTTGAGATGTGAGCCTTGCTCTCTGCTAGTTTACACACAGCACAACATGGCTGACGCAGGCTTCTCAAAGCTCCAGGCAACAAAAAGAAACTTCCCCTGCTTGGGAGTTGCCACCACCTGCTCAGGAAAACTGGGAAGCATAGAAAAGCTCAGCAGCATGTACCAAAGGTCAAAAAGCAATGTCAATGCCAGACTGATGGCAAAAAGGAAGGCTGGAAATCTCATTCCTCTTATAAATGCCCCACCTGACACTGACAGCTTATCGCAGAGCTCCACAGAATACTAGAAAGGGAAAGACTGTTTCAAAGAAAGCTGAAAGCCAAAAAAATTGAGAGATACAATTCCCAAAATAAGGTTGCCTAGTCAGAGGTTGATCTTTCACTTCCAACCAATGAACTGCATTAGCTAGCAACAGAGAGTCAACCACTCCTTTGGTTACCAGAAAGAGAGAGGCTAATTTGTGTAAAACTGAAGGGAAAGACATGATGATCCACAAACAAAATCTGTCCTTGAGAAAAGTCTTTGTCATGGTTTAAGCCAAACCAGCACAGTCTTATAGATCCCTTTGAATTCAGGAAATTTTGGAACTATACAAAGAAATATATATTTGGAGGCAGGCCACTAACTAAACACTGAAATTAAATAGGATGCACACACTAAACAAAGAACCTGACACATCTTGCATGTTCTGAACGAGTTTCAATGGCAGCACTGAATGGAGAATGCTGCTGTAGCTCAATCCAACACAACTAAAGCATAAATACCCACAGTTTTGGTTGGCATTTGTCAAGAAAGGTCACAACCCCAGAACCAGAAAAGGCTGAGAAGCCATCCTTGCTGCAGAGTGACTACTAGAAGTATCATTTTCACGATAGCATGACTTGGATTTTGGAAGTGACCTGTGTAGCACATAAAGGACAGTTACATACATTTCTCAAGTTGCTTTATGTAATATGATCCCATGCGTGTCTTCTAGGAACCCTCAAGCAGCTATTTACAATTCAAAGCATTGATCTATTGCAGTCATATGGTGACTGCAACATTAGCTCTGTGGGTTATAGTAGAGGCAGTGCTTTTTTTAAACCAAAGGGCATTAGTATCTAGGACACCAGTCAACCCATATGTGATTAGGTATGCAGTTTCTCAAATGAATCTGTTGTCATGATCAACAAAAAATAAAAATATTATCCCCACGTGACAAGGTTCAGCACTATCAGATCAGGTCCTAAAACTAGAAATTAGCTAGTTCCTCTGCAAAATTATATATAATGCACCTTGCTGGCAAGATCCTTCAACAAAGATGCAGAAAAGGTGAACAGCAATTATTAAAATGTTAAAAACTCTGTACTTACTTGCTTTTTCTTGTAGAATCCCTTCTTGTCACAATTTGGAATATGAAAGCCCCTGGGACTCAAGACATTCAGGATCTTTAGGTGGTTTAAAGTGTCTTCCATTTCTCTACGACATGGACCCTGTTGACAAGCATGTTTTAGAAAACACAAATGAAACTTCACTCCCAAATTCCATCTTTCACTCAAGAGTTAATAAATTTTTAAAGGGCAAAAGAAAGCACAAATCCAAACAAATCTATTAAAACAAAGAGAGGGCTGAATACAAATAAAAGCAGATAATTCATTAAAAAAAAATTGACTTTCTGCTCTATTCAAGATAAACTGATTTCTAAAGATTAAAGGCCTTATGCTATGCTGAGGCACATAGTGGCAGTTAAAATCGCAGTCACAAATACCTTTAGGAAGGCTTAACCGGTATGTAAATCAGTCACATAGAACATAAATTTGGAAAAGCTGGCCTTGTACCATGTGGAAAAAGAAGAAAGTAAGCCACTGAAAATACATTACAGGATAGGTCTTCCCCAATGATATTTAATTTTTTTTGTGATTCTGCTGGATTTGAAAGCTTAAATTAAATTGATTCAATTGAAAATAAGTGGTTTGGCATAATGTATATATAAAATACCTCAGCTTGGACAACAATTCCCAATTTCAACGGAATCAAATAGATGCAATCATACAGAGGACCAGTTGCACATAGCAGTCTCATTAGATAAGTATATCACTTTTTTTTCCCTCTTTTTCTTCATCTGAAAAAGGCTGACAACAAGGTAGTGAGGATTAGCTCTTAGGACAATGAGCCAAAAAGAGCTTCCAGAAGCACTTCTAAGAGAATGTCTCAAACACCAACTAATTTTATCTCACGGCAGCCCTTCAGGGTAGGGAGAATAATGCATGACGAGCCCCACTTTGAAGTCAGAAAATCAAAAGCAGAGAGCTTCACATTTTGCCAGAGGTTAAGAAGGCAGTCAGTGTCAGCAGTGGGATCAGGATTCAAGAGTCACAGCCTACAAACTCTGTGCTTAGCTACACTCCTATATGGGCATAACACTGACTTGCACCACCAGCCCACTTCTCTAGCAGAGACATGAAAAAATTTCTTTGGTTTCATGGTTTAAAAATATTTAAAAATTGCTACATTGACACAAAGACTCATTTGGTGCTGTTTTTAATTAGTGAAGTAATGACATTCATACTTTCAAGTGGTAGTATTAATAGTTTGTTCATGTAAAGTACCTTTTAATGTGAGTGTCTGAAAGCATACAATCTCCATAGTACTACTGGAGATTAAAATGGAGGTTTTTGGCCAGTAAAGACCTTCTTTGTTCCCTTCACTTTTTCTTTCTGAACCAGTCTTGTAAGTTCTAAGCATGGGCTTTAAATGGCTTCTCTTACTGGTCAAACGTACTGACTGCAAGTGACAGATATTTAAAGATTTGATCCCAAATTAGGCCTATAAAAAGATCAACAGATTTTAAAAAAATTTATTTTGAAGCAAGCTTGCAAAGTCAGCCAGACCAGTATCAAAAGCCAACATGTAGACACAAGTAGAAGAGCATTTGCTGACAAAGGGACCCATCCCTGATAGACTTATTTCAAGTTCTTAAAGACACCAGCAGCCTTGGTAAACTGGTATACCTTTGCTCATGGACCCAACTATCACTACTCATCTTAGTTAAGAATCTATTTCCTCAAGCAACCTACCTTCATTCTTTTAGTGATGGCACTTTTACTTCACATTTTTGGGAGGAAGACACACTGGAAGGCAGCTACTGAAGCAATATAACTAGATGGCTGGACATGAGTGACAAACTAAAAATGAAGCTACTCTTAGAAGCCGCACTCTGTTCAGGCAGAGGTTTTCACCTCATACAAGTTTCAAACCTTCTTTTGAAGATGAGAAGCCACATCTGCTTTTACCATGCAGGTTTTGATAAAATGCGGAAGCATATCCAGATGCGTTTTTCAAGCCATCTGACCTAAGGCACAGATTATCAACTGGATGTCCAGGAAGAGAATTATTCTTGCCCTCAGATTAACCACACTCTGACTGCCCTGCAAATTCACTGGACACAGTCAGTAGGATGCAATGGCAGCTCATGTGACCACAAGACTTTGGATTTAGGCAGTAGCACCTACAGCAACTGCAAGTGGAGGTGATGCTCAGCATATCATATAGTGACTGACTAGTCAAGACCTTAATCCTGAGCTCAGCCTAAGTTTATCTCCTTTGATTTGCACCAGGCAACGTATGAACACAGTGCCACTACACTCAATGTGAAACATCTTTTCTCCATTATTGCAATTCAATTACACAGTTTGCAACCAAGATTAATGATGGCACTTCAAGTCCACTCAAACAAATGTGTGACAATTAAAGGGAAGAACAGGAACTTTTGGCCTCTAAGAAACTTTAGTGGAAGTCATGCTCGTATTGATGTAAACAGCATTACATTAGTCCTATGTGTTTCCTGAGCACAATCTTCTTGGTCTGATGATTGTGTATGTATTTGCAGAGTCAATAGATTTACCAGTTAAAATGCCAGAATGTCCTAAAAGGCTGCAACAATTACCACCCTTTAGCTATTTAGTGTAATTATTTATCTTTTTATATTCACAACATGCATATGTATATACACACACACATTCACAGGCTAGCAAATGCCCTCCCATTTACAAAAAATACTTACATATTCAGTCTCTTGTTTGGATTCAGAAGAGAAATTCAACGTATCCGTACTCTGTGAATCATATTCGACTTTATAGCGTTGTGTATCTTTGGCTTGCACTTTCCTGATGATATCTATTTTGATGTGTGGTGGATGTGACTTGGAATCTGGCACCCTGTGAGAGTTTGGAATGGCCTGATTTTCTACACTGCTGGTACTCCTGTCTTCTTCTGAATCACTGAAATTTCCTTCAAAAAGAACAAATGCAGAAGAAACAATGTTAGTTGGCTGCCAGCTGTGCCTGCAAGGGCATAGAAACATAGAATCACAGAATATCCTGAGTTGGAAGAGACCCACAAGGCTCCTCCAGTCCAACTCCTGGCCCTGCAAAGGACAGCACCAAGAATCAAAACATGTGCCTGACAGTATTGTCCAAATGTTTCTTGAATGCTGTCAGTCTTGCTGGTGAGACCACTTCCCTGCAGAGCCCATCCATCCTGAGTGAAGAACCTTTTCTTAATATCTAACCTTTACCTCCTCTGACACAGCTCCATGCCATTCCCTCAGATCCTATCACTGGTCACAAGCAAGAAAATATTAGTGCTTGCATTTCTGCCTCCTCGTGTAAGGAAGCTGTAGAGCACAATGAGGTCTCTCCTCAAACAAGCCACTAGATTAGGCTATGTTTAATTTTCCTTTTTACAAAATAGCAATATACAAAAAGATGAACTATGCAGCATTCCCCATGTGTCAGCACCTTTGTTGCCACGTGCTAAGTTTTGTAAGTGAAGCATTCCCATGCTCAGCGCGGCCTCGCAAAGTGCCCAGCTGCACCACCTGTGCAGGCCCGGCAGCCACGGCCGCAGGCCCGGGAGCCACGGCGGCGCGGGCCCCTGACTGCCGCTGCAGTGCCGCCCGCCGGCGGCAGGGGGCAGGCCTGCGCCGCACGAGGGAAGCCCGCCGCAAGCCCAGCGGCGCGGATCCCTCCCCATCGCCACTGCTGACTTCATCAACTCCAGATAAACGCGGCCGGCTTGGGGCAGTCACGGGCTGCAGCGTGGCTCTGCCTCTCCCAGGGCCGTAATTTTCTTTTTTTTTTTTTTTTAAGAAGTTAATACTATCAACACTAGGTCGCTGAGTTTCCTGGTTCTAATTAGACTGTTTTTCCTTACTTTATTCAATACACAGAACGGGGAAGAAAAAGAACAGCACACTTTCTTTTCTCTGCTATTAAAATAAAAAAAACATCTTGGTGTACAAAATACATTTTAAAGGTAATGGACAAAAACCATCATTCATTCTGTAGGGGTTCCAAGGACAAACCCTGTTTTCATCTTGAGCTTCAAAGTATCTTCTCTTCAAACTACCATCCACAACAAGTCAGAAGAAGCACATTTTTCTAACATACTCCCTAAGTTCAGCATTCCTGTACCTTCTAAGGTATCTGTTTATGCTGCATTCTAGTTGCTGTCTTAGCTGCTGACCACTTTTTTTTTTTAAGGAAATCCTATTGGGAATGGACAATGATCCAATAGGATCAAACATCCAGTAAAATTATAAATTATACTAAAATTATACTTGATGACTCACTAAAAAAAAATTCACAAAAACTGAGAAATTCAGTACTAGAAGTCCATGTTCACATAGATTGTTAATGCTAAATATTTCTACATAGGGAGTGCAGTGGCACTGCCAAAACACAGGAAAGGGAAAAAGAACATAAGAGGAAGAGGGTTCTGAGTTAACATTTTGGTACTGGTGGTTTTAGCACAAGCCACTGCTGGCAATGGACATAATTGGCCAGGAAAATCCAAATCACAGTGCAAATGGATTAAGGAAGTTTAAGTACTAAGTCCAAATTTCCTGGTTTTTGTGGGTTTAACTCAGACTCTCAGTGGTATTTGAACATATTTTTGGTGGTTTAGTGCCTTGTTCTGAAACAGCAGTATTTTTCCCCCACATTCTAAATGAAATTTTCAAGAAATGATCCACTAAAATGTTATAAACCTGAATCTAGGTTTTCTGCAATCAGTCCAGTTCATTAGTTTTTCTCTTCTACCAAAAAATAAGTAGAAAATAGTCTTAACATGCATTGAGTATCCATGACCATTTCTGGTCATTTCAGTTCAGAAAGGCCACTATAGCTCAATAGCACTTCTTACACTTCAGATTAAAACAGTCATATTGCCACATTCTAAACTGTAAAGCATATTTTATTAACTCAGTTTCACAAAACTTAGTGCCATGCTAGCTTTACATCCTCATAAGAGAAACAGAACTGCCATGAGAGTTACCCATTCTCTTTTGAGATTAAAAGAGTTGCAAATGCACACTACTATTCAACACTTGTGTCCAAAACAACAACTGGAAAGTCAGTGGCCTACTACAGTTTCTGTTGTAATGCTACTGTAATACACTCTACCCTATACAAACTTCTAGCAATTTCTGTGAACTAGGAAGGACTAGCAGATTAGCATGTGATGCAGGACCTAGCTGCATGTAAAGGAAATTACGTGATTCTTCTCAGAGAAGTGTATACCAGAGAGTGTTGGCTTGAGAGCTGGGAGTGGAGCGGTCCTCATGAGGAAGTGAGCACTACGTGTCATGTAGATTCTTTCTTGCACACCAGGTCTGCAAGCTTCACTCCCTGAATGTGAACTGTAAGGCTCCTACTATGCACTTTTTAAGGAATCAAAAGCTCCTACTAATTTCAAAATCAGAGTTCTTCCTCAGCCAAGAACACAGAAATAAGAATTCAGCTGAAAATAGAAAGATTTTCAGCTAAGTACAACTCTGTCTTTCCTTTTCTCTAACAGTCAATGTTGAAAGCACTACCCCTAGATTAAATGCCATCAAGTCCTAAGCACCGAGAAGATGATTCTTGTTTCCAGCGTTACTCCAAGGATGAACAGGGAGCCAAGCTCACATGATGAAGGAAGCTACTAGTTGTTCCAAGGAGATTAAAAATCTCAGTTAATACCTCCAAACTCTCATTCAAATTGTCACAGCTTGGAAGCCGCACATAAATAATTATAATAAGGCATTATTCTATTCTGTTGTTCTAACAGGCAGTTAACTGGAGTATTGGTGCCTCTTTCTCAGCTAAGGAATGGCCAGTCAAAGAGTCCCTACAACCTGGCAGAAAATCTTCCAGCTTTTTAAAAATGCCAACAGTGGAAAGCCTTTTGACACACTTTTCTTTTAAACAAATGTTAACATACTCGCTGATGGTTAGCAAACAATTTAATTAAATGCTTGCATAGAGGGACTGTGCCCTCTCGATTTGAATCCCAAATTTCCTTAAGTTTTAAAATATGCATGCTAACAGAATTTTTTTCAACCATCCCTTCCTTTTCAAACAAAACCCATTCTGTGAACATCTCGCTTACGAGGCATAGAAGAGGTACAAGAAATCTTCGTTTGACCAAGGATTTATTTGCAGTATAGATAAAAAAAAACAACTGAGCACTGTGCACAAACGCTTTGTTCTGAATAACCACTTTTCCAGGCCAAAGGGATATTTAAATTTGTCTTCTGGATTTTTGTCTTCTCTCTGTGCTTAGACTTCCCTGACTTACCCACGCTGCAGTGCAGCAGTTAGACGACACTCTATATTTGCTCACTCTGTTTCCAGGTACACCGGGGACAAACGGCAAAGATTCCACCCTCTCTCTCCATCCAGGCTCTGTAGCCTGCCAGACCCATGCCCGCAGAAGCCACATACAATCCCTCCCCCACTCTCTCTGTTTTTTTATTTAAAAAAAGAAAAAAAAAGAAAAAGCAGCTCCGTCTCTTTTGTGAGGAGCTAGTTCTCAGCATCGGCGTTGAAGAAAACCAGTATATACATAAATAAGTTATAAGAGGCAAATTGTCCTTTCCTTCGGCCAAAGCACGGCTCCTTCCAAACGATCCAAGCTCGGCTACGTGGCTGCCGGCAGAGCCCCCCGCCCCCGGGCCGGCAGCGAGCGAGGGCCGTTTCCGGAGACAGAGCTCTGCCGTGAGCTCGCCCACGCCTCCCGCTCATGCTGCTCTCTTTGTAACTTAAAACAAAAGAAAGCGACACACACGCACACACAAAACAAAAACAAAAGAAAACCAAACAAAAACGCACAAACAAAAAAAAACATCCCAGCAAGAAAGCAGGTAAGAGGGAGAGCGGCGCGCAGGAAAGCCACCCCTTCGCTTCCCCACCCCGGCCGCAGCCCCTTACCTGCAGCGTGCGGTCCCGGCAGCAGGAAGGCCCGCAGCTTGCTGCCCGCCGTAGCGTTGGTGCAGAGCCCGCGGCCCTCGAGCAGCGCCTGCAGCGGCCGCGCCTCTTCCCGCCGCGGCCGGCAGCTGAGACCCGCGCCGCAGCGTTCCGTGTAGACGCCGCAGGGTTGCCCCGGGCGCAGGGCGCAGGTGAGGCAGCAGCCGCAGCCCGGCTCCCGCACCCGTTCGGCGCAGTCGGGCTGCAGGGGCTTGCACTGCTGCAGCGCCCGCGCGTCGCAAGGCTCGCAGCGGACCACCGGCCCCGCCAGCGCCGCCGCCGCCCGCCGGACCAGCAGCGCCAGTGCCGTCGCCGCCACTGCCCACAGCACGCCGGGCCGCGGCACCATAGCAACCGGCGGAGGGGGCCGCCGGGAGCCGCCCCCGCGCGGGCCCAGGACGGGCAGAATCCCGCGCGGGCAATCACACGCCGCTGCGGGCCGAGGGAGCGGAGCCCGAGCCGCCTCCGAGGCGAGCGGAGCTGCCGAGCGCTCGCGAGCCTGCCGGCGTGAGGAGGCAGGGAGCCGCGCTGCCGGCACTCGCACGCCGGCCCTCTCTGCAGCCGCTTGCCCGTAGTCACATCAAGGCAGCAAAAGCTCTCTAGCAACAAAAGCAACTTTTTCCTTCTCTTCTCCCCCCTCCTCCCTGCAGAGCGCTTGAATTACTCGGCTCGACAGTAACTTTTCTCTTTTTTTGCCACACACAACACTCAGAAAAAAAAAGGAAAAAAAACCTTTGCAAAAGTTAAATTGGAAAAAAAAAAAAAAAAAAAAAAAAAAAAAAGCTGAGCCCAGACGGTCAGAAGAAAATTTAGAATTTAGTCCAAAACATTTCGGAAAAGGAGATAGTACCGAGAAGGGAAAAATAGAGGTGGGGGAAAGAAAAACCGAAGTTCCCTTCGATTTATTCCCCGTGCTGCCTGCCAGCCGCGCTGCTTTGCTCTACTCCCCGCCACTCCGCACCCAGCTGTCCCCCGTGCCGCCCATACGCCCTATATAGCGCCGCGGCCGCCGGCCCGCCCCGCGCCATGAATAACGCGCGGCGCGGCAGGAAGAGCCGGCCCTCGGCGGATCCGGGGTTCGGTCACGCAGGGTTTGTGAGGGCGGTGCAGTGCGGGGGGAGTAGCCGGGGGACGCCGCGCTGCCGGGGGTTTACAGGCACTTCTTCGAAATCAGCCGTGAGGGGTAGGGCTCTGACGAGAGGACCACGTCGTGTGTCTCTAGTTTCAAGAAAAAGTGGTTTCTCTGTGCGTGTGCGCTTCCCCGTGACCGTGTGTGTTTCCTTGGCACCGAGAGAGGCGAGAGAAGTTCGCGGAGAGTGCCCTTTTTTGGACTCCTAGCTACAATCCTGTCCACTTTGGTGCTGAGAGCCGCGGCCCTGGCGAGGTGCGCATGTGCTCGCACCCGCCCGCCCGTAGGTTCGGGGCATACCTTGAAAGCGGCTTACAGCTCACATGACAGCTGCGTTGCCGAGGAAAACTGGGGGGAAATGTATGTGCAGACCACACCCACACAGTCAGGCACCTCAGCCCCGTTTCAGATGTTGCTCTCTGGCCCGGCACTCGGTCCATATCTTGCCCCATATCTTCCTGGATGTGCCTCCCTTAACGTTTTTTTTTAAGAGTTCTTTGTACTCCTGAAACGTTTCCTTCCATACATAAAAACAGTTTCCATTGGAATGTCCTCACAAATGTAGGATAAAAAAGACAAGCAATCCATCTCCCCAAACTCCCATAATCGAAATTCTACATGGATTTTTGCACAATGTATGTGTCTTCAGGCCACTGCAAATTCTCTTTCCATTTTGCTAGGCATATTTTGCTCCCCCTGTTAACTTGGCTTAACTTTGATTGAAAGAATCTGAATTGGCAGTGCCAAATTTTGTGACCATTCTTTCTGAAGCTCTACTGCACTCTCAGGAAGAGGATGGTGGGTGAGGTGTATACATAGACAAATATATGGTGTTTCAGTCAGAAGCTTTCCTCATGAAAAATAAAAACAACAATGCTCACAGTTACTGATTCATACAAATATGTTCTGCGGTGGGAATTATGAGCCAGACTACCGTTCTACTTTCAACCCCTTCATCAGTAACACTGAAGCTCATCTTTCAGCAATACATCAGCTGTTCAAATGTGTCAAAATTCAAGCGGAAGAGAGAAGTATACATGTTATTGCTCAAGGTACTGTCCATAATACTGGTAATCTTGAAAGCTGTACTTTTTACAAGACATGTTTTTTAGATAATTAGAATCATCTTTTCAGTTTTCTCTATTAATTCGGTACTTATACCTTGCAAATAACATCTTGAAAGTAGCATAGTACTCAGCAGGATAAAAAATATCTGGTTTTGTATGTGAATAATATGGAAAGTATGACTACTACTGGTGTAAGAGTAGACACTTGTCCTTGGGAAACTAAAGATGCTTTAGAAGAGAGATCAGCCTTGCTTAACTCCCCGATGGGTGACTATCAAGGCTTTTCAGTATTCTTTTGTCCTTGTGCTCATTTTGTTAATTGACCAAAAGAGGTCGCAGGTTGTCCAGGATTGAATTACAGATTCCCTGTCTGCACGGGCCCATCTACAAAGGGGGAATTGATCAAACCCTATATCCTGCATGTTTGGTTTCACGGTGGGTTTTCTGGGGTTTTTGGGGGGTTTTGGGGTAGTTTTTTTTGTTTGTTTGTTTATTTGTTTGTTTTGTTTGGTTGGTTTTTTTCTGTTTGGTTGGTTGGTTGGATATTTTTAGGTTTTGTTTCAGATTGGTTTTTTGGATTGGTTTGGTTGGGTTTAGTTTGGTTTGGTTTGATTTGGGTTTTCCCCAGACTATTGCAGGAAAGCTTGCTGTTACTTTTTTGTAAATTTTGGTTTTAATAACTGTTTGTAGGTGATGAAGTCCAAAACTCCTTGGGGCTGTTTGACAGCATGTATCAGATTAGGTCTAGCAGGAAGAGGAGGCCTTCTTCGTTCACACTGTATGTGTACAGGTATTTTTTCAGTTGGGGTGAGCTTGTATAGCATGCTACTTTCAAAACTGAAACAAAAATGCATAGGAAATGCTGAGGGAATGTAAGTAAAATGGGGTAAAGGGAATGGGAGGAATGAAAGAGAACAAGCTTTTCTTTCACCAGGGTTGTATACCTCTCACACACTAATATCAGTGTAACTTGTATTTCAGACTGTGGCAAGAGCATTTTCATCAAGCTGAATTTTTATTCTCACAATCAGAAAGACTTTTTTTTCCTTTCTCTTCTTTGTTTAATGATGTTCCACAAGCTGTGGTGCACCATTTTGAAGTCCTGTTAATCCAAATATCTTCATTGTCACAAAATAGAAGCAAATGCCCTTTTTAAAATACACAATTGTTGAACTTAGTATATATTTTTGAATAGCATTAATGAAGATTAATGCAGCATCATGGCACTTTGACCAAAAGAACTGTAAATGAAACATCAACCACAATAAATATGTACCTGGATCACCTTTGCAAGGAGAAAGCCAGTCATCTGTCAGAGGTCGGGTGGGTCTAACAGCTTCTGCTAAAAACATAGAAGTTTGCACTGTCTTAACCAATGGGCACTACAGTGATATGAATGACAGAAATTGGTTCAGAGCTGTACTTGGAAATAACAAGATGGATACCAATATGTCTGGAAAGCCACATTAGAAATTTATGAAGAAAAAAGACAAAACTAAAAACCTCAATGTGCACCTATAGGTAAAACCCCAGCACCTATAGCTAACAGTTGAATTACACTTACATCCCAAACTTCACTATTATTGATGGAACTGTTTTACTTGAAAAAGACCAAGCTCGAAATATGCAAAGTAGTGATGTTTATAAAGCTGTACAGAATCTGAATATTCATATTTACATCTACTGTTTATCCTAGAGGCTTTGCATTTTTTTCCTGCTTATTCAGTTTTACTGGGAGGAGAGGGAGAGACAAAAGTCATGTACTGAATCTCTACAGTCAATTCTAAACAACAGAAAGCAGAAGAGAAACAACTGAGAGGCACTGCTTCAACAAATTCCATGTCCTCCCATATTATGGAAGCACAAAAAGAACGTATTTTATTTCCCCCTCTACTTCATCCTCACACCTTCTTCATATTCAGCTCTCTTCTCTAGTGCCTTAGCTGAATTCATACCTTTTGGTATGTTTTTGTGGTATCTGTGCTTGTTACAGGGACAAATAATGGAAAATAGAACTGTGGTTGAAGTAGCCCTACTTTCAGCTTCATGGTCACTTTATGGAGCAATCCTAACTTTTTAGTGTAATTCCTTGTAGTACATGTGGTTATAGCACCCAAAATGTAACTGTCAAGAATGTGAACTTCCCTTATAATACCATTTTAAAACTTTTGTTACTTCACAACCCTTTTCCTTTTAAAAGCAAAACAGAAAACCAAACCAACAAACAAAAACCCACAACAACAACAAAAACCAAATGAAACAAACAAAGAAAAACAAAAACAAACCAAAAGCAATCAAATGAAAAACCTTCAGAGAACTCTAGAGATACATGGCTCATCTTGGGTTGAGGGCTAAGTCCTCATTTAAAAAGCATCTCTTTATTTTGGTATCTCTGCTCTTCTCTTTGCCAACCTTGAAATTTTATGTACAATAAATTTTTGAAGTAAAGAGAAAGCAGATATCCTAAATATGTTCCTGCTCTTCAGAGGAAGAGTACTGAGATTTACAATGATGCCAGCTGATATAATACTTAATTGAAAACCCACTTCACAAATCACTGCTTTCTCAAAGGCAAGGAGTAAAATCTCAGCATTATTTGTCAACTGTCCGTAAAAGCATAGCTTAATGAAAATTTCCTGCAGACTTCCTTCTGGTTTGGGGCTAGACATGAACACTTCAGGTGTTTTCCAGCTCTTTAGACTCTTATGCCGGGTGTGCAGGCTTACAAAGAACAAATTCTAATGGATTCCTCACTAATGCTACCAGGGTAGCCAGCTACCAGGTACTGTGCTCCTTGTCTGAGTATGGCAATCTGAACTGAGTGTGATGGAACAAACTGGATTTGAAAGCAGATAAAATTAGGAAACCAAAGGAGAAATAATGAACGCTTTGATGGGAAGTCAACTGAATTGAGTCATTTCTTTGCTATTAGAGACATACATAATGAAAGAATACATATTGATGGTATTACAGAAACAGTTACCAAACACTTCCCTTTTCTAAGGCATCTTGGAGGAAAGGTATATAGCTGATAGGTTTCCTTTTACGAAGCTCTTACCCAGAGATGTGCTCATATCTTTTATGTACTAGTTAGACATTATATAGTGATCTGGCAATAAAAATCTTATAGAATTTAAAGATAACAGGGAGATT